TATATATATTATCTATATTACACATATAATAGATATATGTACGATTTAATACACATAATATAGATATTAGCTATAATAGATATAGATATAGATAGATATAGATATAGATACAGATATAGATATATACACACAACATATATACTTAAATAACAAAAATAATATAAATAATATGTGTGTATATAAAATGCAAATATATTGATATATATTACATATTTATATGTATAAATATATCTAATTACATACATAATCTGATATATATTTTATACTTGCATATACATACATATTTATGCATATATATATGCATTTTTTGTATACATATACATAGAGATATATAGATATATACATATATATGTATGTGTATATATATGTATATTTGTTTATGTATATATATACATATGTGTATATATGTGTATACATATATTAAAACATAGATGTATAAAATGTATATTAAAATAATTATGTTATATATATATATATATATATATATATATATATATAAATCCTGAAGGAGCCTGCCCCTTCCTTCCCGCTCTCCATCCCTTTCCCTCTCTGTGCCGGGATCCAGATCCTGGGAATGTGGTCGGGAGGATCCTGTTGGGCTCTCTGGCTTTTCCCCGAGCTCCCAGTCCACCAAAAACTGGGAAATGCACAATTCCCACTCCAGCTGAGGGTTTAATTTAATTTAATTAATTTAATTTAAGTTTTTTTATCCCATTTTTTCCCCATGTTTGGGTCTCCCAAAGGCTTCACTTGGCTGCTCATCCCTTTCAAACATCCTTGGAAAACCTCACATTCCTTAGAAATCAATGATGGAAAATTTCCAGGATCCATCCCCGCCCCGGTCCTAGAGCATTCCCCCTCATATCCACAAATGCAACAGACACCAGGAATTTTTAAAATACCATGTTTTTAATCCTTAAAAAATGCCAGGAACACAATGTCCCGAACCTCACCCTGCATCCAGAAAAATCCTCTTCCCTCTTCTCCATAAAATTAATATTAGCATAAATAATTCTGCTATGCCAAGGGCATTCCTGCCCTTAAAATTCCATGATTTCCATGGCACCAGCTATGTACAGGTATGATACACGTGGGCTCCCCAAACTGCTCTGATGGGACAAAACTCATCAAACTGCTTTTTAATTAATTCTTTACATGATTTTAAATTTTTTCAAAATTATTTCTAAGTTTGTGGTTTGCTTTTTTTTGGTTTTTTTTTGGGCGGGATTTTTAATATTTTTAATATTTTTCCCCCCATTCTTTCCTTCCTGTTTTTAGAAGAATTATGTACAGCTGGACACGGGAGATTTGGCGTTTAAGGTGCTTGAAATCACAAGAATTTCATTCAGTGCATTCAGACTAATTAACGCCTCCGCTTAATTACTCCTGTTAACGAAGGCAGTTTGAGAGCTGTGGCCAGCAGAGCCCGGGATCCGCGACAGCTCCGCCCCGGGAAGGAGCAATCCATGGGGGAATTTTGGGGAAAATATTTTTATTTTAAGGAGTTTTCCAGCTCCACATCAGGGACCCCTCACGTCGGTGTCCCCTCGTCCCCACCGTGGTGAAATCCCAGTTGGAAGCACTTCCGAGGAGATTTTTGGGGAATTTTTGGTTGATTTGAGGCTTTTTTTTTTTAATGGAACCCCAGTTGAAAGCACCTCTGAGGATGTTTTTTGGGACTTTTTGGTTGGTTTGTGGTGTTTTTAATGGAATCTCAGTTAGAAGCACCTCTGAGGTGATATTTGGGGAATTTTCCATTGATTTGAGGTTTTTTTTAATGGAATCCCAGTCGAAATCACCTCCGACGAGTTTTCTGGGGAATTTTCAGTCGGTTCAAGGGGTTTTTTTTGATGGCTTTTAAGCGCCGTCCCACAAGGGGCGTTCTCTCATCCTGCTGCAAAGCCAAGCTCAGCCCCGAATCCCTCGGGATTCCCGGGAATCTCCGGAGCTGGGACGGGGTCACTCCATCCCGTGGGAATTCTGCTCCCGGGAATTCTGCTCTCTGCGCCGGCGGCTCCCGCTCTTGAAGAAGCCGAGCTGTGGGGAGGGAAGGGAAACAAAACCCCGCTGTTACCCCGGG